GTAATAATAATAAAATAAATAATAAGATACAATATCGGAATAATAACTAATAAAATAATAAACTGTTCTATAACAGTCTATTTTCATAATAAAATAAACAGGATTGCTGAAGGAAAAAAAAGCTAAGACAAATTAATAAAAAAAAAATAGATTTATATAGATAACTAAAAATTTTAAAATTTATATATAGGTATGGTGACTTAATGAATAATCAAGTTGTTACCTTCCAAGTGGCATATCTAGAGTTCGAATTCTATTGAAGACAAATCTTCAAATTTCTATCTATGTATAGCTACAATCTTCTTTGTTGGGGCTGTATTATACACAGTGCTTATCAAAGTTGAAGCTCAGTCCTGTAACCTGATATTTATCAATTTAACTAAATTAGAAGGATCTATAGAACGTTCATATAATATACAAGTAATATAAAGACATGCAAGCTAGTAAAGAGTAATGCAAATCTAAGATAAGTCCTTTAGCCAGATAATTCCTGAGAATTTCGACAAAATCGATGCTTATTTAGCAAGACCCGAGTGGAGAGATAGCATAGTCTTAAGTGCCTGGATGAACTTTATAAGAGCAGAGTGATTCAAGAAGCGATATAACCTGCTTGTAAAGATATAGAACTTATTCAATGAAGAATTCTCCTGTGGCTAATCAATGGCTGTTGGGTTCGTCAATATTTGTTGTCTAGTCTGAAAAAAACTAGGTAACTGTTGGGTAATAGGCAAAAAACAAAAGGCACTAGTCTAAGTATCCTCTTCCCTTACTATAACTAGTTGTACTTTAAATTAGTTCTTTAATAGAAAATAAAGTGTGATTTGCTATGTGAAAACAGTTATACAAAATAAATATAGATAGTTACTAATATATTATCGTGATAGAATTATAATGAAACCTATATTATGTATATGGCAAAATCATAATAAAAAAAAAATTTGTATATAGCAAACTTATTTAGTATAAAATTTTACATGTAATTATAATAAAAAATTTTTTTTTGTAAAATTTCATACAATTTTTTTTATTACAGTTGATATCATCTAAAGCTAACTTTTTATATATAAATACAGAATCCCAAAATATATATAGATAGATCAAGTTAGAGTTTGCTTATTTTTGATCTTTTTTGTGTAAATTATTTCTATTTATAGTAATTAGTTTACTTATTTTTGACTTTTTTCTTGCAGCTCTTTCTATATTTAATAATTTTTGTAAAACCTTACCTCTTAGTATGTATTTAGAAATCCTATAAACACTAATTTTTTAGCTGCAGTATAATATTATTAACCAATAAAAATACAAAAAAATTTAATATAATTTTAAATTGGGTTTATTTATATGTACCCTAAGGTACATGTACCCACATCATATGATCTATATAGATCGCCATAAAATTTAAGATCAGGTGTAATATTACACAATTAGAAAATTTAAAACAAACAGTCATTTTGACAAAAATCACTAATTTCACAAGAAATTGCATACTAAACTACCTTCTGTGTATTAATAAAAAGTTTTCCTTAAGCAATTTTACTATATAACTGTCTAAATACTAACCCTAACATAGTTCTTACTCTAACTCTAAACTAATATAAACAATATCGGTATTACTGTTTTTGTATATAATATCGTATAATCAAAATAAAGGGTACAAAAAAATTTAATGTACCCTACGGGTACATTTATATTAATTCTTTTAAATTTTATAAATAAATTTAAAATTTTATTAATAAATTTAAAATTTTATTAATAAATTTAAAATTTTATTAATAAATTTAAAATTTTATTAATAAATTTAAAATTTTATTAATAAAGTTAAATTTGATATTTTTTTTATATATAAGTGCCAAATTTTTAAACTATATATACTTTAAATTGATATAAACTTCTTAAAATAAGAGATACTAAAAATTTTATTTGTAGATTTAATAGTTTAATCAAAAAGCTATTAAATTTATAAAAACATTTTTTCAGTTTATATTTTATTTTAAAAAAATTCTAAAAGTTTAAAAACTTCATAATTAAAAGTTGATGGCTTTTCGTAATAGCAACTGTACTATTTTCGATATGCTTAACCCCAAAATTTGCAAATAAGTTAACGTTAATTTGAAATATGGGGCTTAAAGTTTATATGTTTTTATTTATTTTATCACTTATGTGACATATCCCTGACGTTACTAACCAAAAAATTCGACGAACAGCATGTCGAATACGTACGTACTACGTACTACGTACGTACGTACGTACGTACGTATCTGATATCTGATGACCATGTGGCTTACAAAGGTTATGATTATTACATTACGTCAGATCTTGAAAAAGATTATCAGAAATCAGTGTAATCATGGTGACAATTAAACTTAAATTCAACCAATCAGAAATTTTGCTTATCTGCACTTTTTTCAAAAATTGTAACGTATTCAAGATTTGTTATGGAATTATATAACCTCTAAAAATTTTCTATTTTCTTCAGATAAAAAAAATGAGCGTGAATACAGTACAAATTCCAAAGACATTACCGATCGTCCCCATTAAAAACAAAGTATTATTTCCTGGCACTGCCCTTCCTCTCCAAATTGGCCGTAAAGATACGGCTCAACTTATGCAAAGAATTTATAAATCTGTAGATAACAAAGATTCTAAATACTTAGTTGGTTGCGTCCCAGTTAAGCCTCCGGCCCCTACTACGACAAATTCGGAGCAAACCAACACTTTTTCAAAGAAAGTAAATGAGGAAATTCTTAATCAATCAACGCCTACTTCAGAATTACATGAATATGGTTGTGCTGCACGTATCATTCGATTGGAAAGACCAGTCGGAGGAATTGGGGGCAGATTCTTCGTAGTTGTAGAAGGTATAAAGCAAGCAAAAAACTTTGTCCAAATATCTACAATAATTCTGCTAACTATACTATTTTAAATCTAGGCATTGCACGAATACACATCGATAAATATGTCTCCGGTGGCCCTTACCTCGAAGCTGAGGTAACAGTGTATCCAGAGCCAGGTATTGTACATCTTCAGTTCGTATCGAGTTCATTCTAATTAAATTATTGTTTTTTGTGTATTATTGCATGAAAAAGCTAACTTACCAGCTTAAACTCGTGTTTGTACATTTAATTAAGTTATGCCAAATGACGATCAGGAATTACAAGATTTAGCTATTTCCTTGAAGTCAACTGGCCGCGAACTCTTTATTATTTTACAAGATTTAAAGCTTCCCGTACAAATGCTAACACAACTTCAGAGATTCATTGATGGTGCTTCTGCTGGATCATTGGCAGATCTACTGGTCAGCACGGTCGAGCCCCCTTATGAAGAAAAATTGGTATTCAACTTGTCACTTTGTTACGTGGTTTATACTGTACTATACTATGTTATGTAACCGACAAATATTATTTACTTAGAAAATTTTAGATGCCCATGATTTAAAAACCAGAATGATAAATGCTATAGATATCGTGACTAGACAAATCCAAGTACAGTTATTACAGTTATTACATTGTATTTAATCTGCTAATATATAAATATGATTAAGTAGTAACATTCTGTCTTATATCATAGATACTAAAGATTTCTCAAAAAATCCATTCCACTGTCGAAGGAAAGCTTGATAAGAAACATAAAGAATTCTATTTGAGGCAACAGGTAAACACTGAAATTAATTATGAAAAATTACTTAGGTTTATTGTTTTCGTTGTGAATTATAATGCTATAAATACGTTACTACATAGCTTAATGCCATTAAAGAAGAATTGGGTGAACGTGATGACGCATCCACTGAAGGGGATGACATTGCAGATTTAACGAGGCGATTACAAGAAGCCGGACTAACGCCAGAAGGTAACGTACCATTACCACTTAAGCAATTTTCTTTTTTGTTAAGTAAAAAAAAAAAAAAAAATTATCTATGTTCTACTATTAAATTTTAATAGCTGATAAGGCAGCTCAGCGGGAATTAAAGCGACTCAAACGTATGCATCCGACACAAGCTGAATATCAAATAGTTCGTACTTACCTTGAATGGCTTTCTGAAATTCCATGGAGTAAAGGCACGTCCGATACAATAGACATTGATAAGGCACGTTCACAACTAGAAGAAGATCATTATGGTCTTGAAGCTGTAAAAAAACGTATATTGGAGTTTCTTGCTGTATTAAAACTGAAAAATGATATGAAAGGACCGATCTTATGCTTATTAGGTCCACCTGGTGTGGGTAAAACTTCACTAGGAAAAAGCATTGCCAATGCACTTGGCCGTAAATTTCATAGAATATCTCTGGGAGGTGTCAGGGATGAGGCTGAAATTCGTGGACATCGGCGAACTTATCTGGGTGCTATGCCTGGGCTTATAGCACAAGGACTTAGAAGAGTAGGAGTCAATAATCCTGTCTTTTTACTCGGTATGCATTGAGCTCTCACTCTATTTATATGATTAGCCGTTCGAACTTTTGCTAGTTTAACACCATATAATTCTATACAGATGAGATAGATAAAGTAGGGCATTTGAGTTTGCATGGTGATCCGTCGGCTGCATTACTGGAAGTACTTGATCCAGAGCAGAATAACACTTTCAATGATCATTATCTTAATGTCCCACTTGATCTATCAAAAGTGCTCTTTATTGCTACGGCTAACCAAATCGACCCTATATCTCCACCATTACTTGATCGAATGGAACTAATCAGAATTTCTGGCTACACATTCGAAGAGAAAGTTCATATTGCTAACCGACATTTATTACCAAAACAAATAAAATACCATGGTTTGGAACCTGGATATGTTAATATTTCGGATGAGGTCTTGCTAAAAATTGCTACTGGTTATACTTGTGAAGCTGGTGTCAGAAACTTAGAGAGAGAGATTGCTGGAGTATGTAGAGCTAAAGCAGTTGAATATGCTTATGCGAACGATAATGGAAAAAAAGATACATATCGACCAGAAGTTACAATAAATGACATAGTAACTATTCTTGGGGTGAGGATTATATATACTCAGTTATTTCATATTGGAGAATATCATTTATTAACCTTTGCGATGGATAATTACTAAAATTTTTACGCTAAAGGTGGAAAAGTTTAACAATGACATAGCTGAACGCACAACGAATCCTGGTGTTGTCACGGGTCTAGCATGGACAGCAACCGGATCTGGTGGTATTTTATTTATCGAAGCAACTCAAATGCCTGGAAAAGGCAATCTTAAGTTGACAGGTAAAAGTTTTCCCACTAATTAATTTATTTATTCGTCGTTTACAAATTGAAATACCGTCCTAGTCGTTAATATTGTTTTATTTAAAAGGTAAATTGGGCGAAGTTATTAAGGAATCCGCTCAAATTTCTATTTCATGGGTACGGGCACATTCATTCCAGTTGGGCATTACGACAGCATCTACAGAATCTACATTCTTCTCTCAAAGAGACGTTCACATACATTTTCCTTCCGGTGCCGTGGCCAAAGATGGCCCATCAGCTGGTGTCGCCTTAATAACGGCACTTGTTTCTTTATTTACGCATAGATGTGTGCCTCCTACAACTGCTATGACTGGTGAAATTACATTACGTGGTCAAGTGCTTCCCGTAGGTGGTATTAAAGAAAAAATTATCGCAGCACATCGTGCTGGCATTAATAAAGTTATTCTGCCTTCACGAAATCGTAAAGACGTTGATGGTGATGTACCAGTAAATGTTAAGGAAAACATTAAAATTGTGTATGTAGATAATGTTTACGATGTTCTACAGGCAGCATTTGATGGAGAAAAAATATGGATGGAACTTTCTTCAATTGTGGGAGTCGAGAGTCGGCTTTAAAATGATCTTAATGACATTTATAACATTACGAGTTTAAATTATCATCAAAAAAAGCTAGTATTTCATTTACATCGAATCTCAGGCTTTTAGATTACAAAAAAAAAAAAAAACTTAACCAAAAATTGTAAACTTCAACCTAAAGATTAATACAGCAATATATAACTATGTATTTATATTATGTATAATAAAATATAGGAGAATTTACATCTAATGGCCTGAAAAATGACAATAATTACGTCCAAAATGAAAATAACTACATATTACGTAAAACCAGTGTTATAAATTCAAAAAATTTTTATTGGCGCAAACGCAAAAAAATATGCACAAAAAGAATTTTATACGTATGCGCTTTATGAGGTAGATGTGGGTATTATGACGAAGTTAACAGTCTTTACTAGTAAAAGTTTACTCAATTATTTTATTTTATTTTTTTAAAGGTTATATAGCTTTTAACTTGCTTTACAATCGTAATACAAAAAAAAATCGTTCTATATAAATTATACGACGTTTCTTAGAGGTCACAATTTTTATCTTAATGAGGATAAAATGAACGTAAAACGATATGATCTTTATTATCTATTATCGTACAATACGTGAACTCGAGAAAAACAACATTAATTATTGTGGCAGATTAAAATGAAATAATAATATAAAATCTCGAAAAATAAATTTTTGGTGTGTATTTTTTAGGGTTAGGGGTTAGAGTTAGGAGTTAAGATTAGAGTAAAATATATTAAACAAGTACAAGTGGGTTTAGAAGGTTAGAAGGTTGAATAGAAAATGCAGATTTCATTTTAAATTATGATCTGCGACAATTATTACTTATTTTTTCGACGTTCGGCTTCAGCTTTTTTGCTTTTTCCTCTGCCCGTTTTTGGGCTGCAGCTTTCTTTTTTCTTACATTTTCAGCTTTCGTTCTGGCTAGTTCTTCCGCCTCTTCCAATTCCCACAAAGAGGCATCATTGGTAAGAAGCCTGGCAAAAGGTAATGTTTTTCTTTTTTTTTGTGGGCTGCGAATGAGGTTTGGCACTATTAGATTCTGGTTCGTTAGTTTGTGATGGAAGATGAAGAACAGGATACTTAAGCACCATTTTTAGCGGGCAAGGATCAGGATTTTTAAAAATCCCTAGTTCTTTACTAATTGATTCATATTTATGTCTTAATAATATATTTTCTTTTTTTAATATTTTGACCTCTTTTTCAAGAGACTTAAGATCCATTTTTAATATAGTTCTATTTCACTTTGAGTGGAATGTTTGAGTTATTGAAAAAAATATGATTTCTGGAACTGATGCTTTTTTACTATTTGATTGAAGATATTGAGATGAAGATAAGGAATCAGCTTATTCTGTGATTAGTGAAGGGTTAAGACATTTGGAACTAATAGCATCTTAAATAGCTAAATTTCTATAACCTTGTAAGTAGGGGTCTGCAAATGCCCATGCTGGCACATAGGCACCATGCCGGGTGCCAGTGTCTCGTGCTGTGCCAATGCCTATGGGTACAAAGGCACCAGGCAATTTTAGGCCAGCACTTTTGTGCCGTGCCTACAAAGATGTAAAGTTTTATTTACGTAAGTTTGAACCATTTTTATGTTAGGTAATTCGTGCCTATAGGTGCCTATAGGTGCCTGTGAGCACAAAAAAACTTTACGGCACAAAGTGAAAATAGTTACAGGCACAAAGTGCTAGCAGTAAAAATGCCGGGCATGAGGCACATGCTGGGTATGCAGAACCCTACTTGTAAGTATTAGTAATTGCCTTTGGAATATAAGTTGGTGTAAATACTGATTAAAAATTCTGGCAAATATGTGTTTGGTTACTACTTCACCTTACTATTATAAAGCTGATTACACCTTTTATTATATTTTTTTTTGAGTTTAGTAAATAAAATTTTAAAGAGTTGAAAAATGTGAGTTGTGTTAATAGTAGCATGTATAACAAACTTTTTATTATTTTTTTTGGTATTAAGGTGATTTTTTGGTTGTGTTGCTTTTATTTGATTATAGTTAACTTTTACAATATGGTATATACTATACTATATACATATATAGAGAGTACAATTAACTACATTTACAACTTTTGGTTGTTTATTTAAGGGGTTATCTAAAGCAGAGGCACATCATATGATCAACAGCCAATCAAATGATAGAATTTTGATAATTGTCAGCGAAGCAAAAAACAAAAAATCTGAAAAATACAAAAAACAGCAGTTTAAACCTACCTCGAATAAGTTAATCAAAAATGTCAGAAAGGCAATTTTGCTTATAAAAACCTAACCTAACCCCAATATAGAAGACCCTAACCCTAAAGTTAATCAAAAAATTATTAAATATAAGTTGCTTTCACTTTAGACATTCCTCTATTTAAATAATTTGTATATTAGTATTATACTATAAAAACTATACTAGATATTATATCTATAATTCAATTAGAAGATTATCTATTTAAATCTTCTGTATTTATATAGTACTTTTTATTTTCAGATAATAATTTAGGACTTTAAAGCAGGTTTATTTTTTTTATTCTTAAGATAAATCTGCTGAAGTTTTTTATATCTATAATCTGATCAACTAGACTTTAGTAATTTATTTTAAGTTTAAAAACAAGTATTTGCAAGCTAAAGCTACTACTATTACCTACTTTTGCTTTTGTAAAGTTTATTAAATCTTAGTACCTACTTTATAGACTGTCATTAGTATCTAAGTTCTGTCAGTATTTCTATCAGATAGCTTGAAAGAAACTAGTAGACATTCTTTAATATTTTGATTAAATCTTTATTTTTTAATTATTTACAACTTGGTTGGTATAGTGTCATGCCAAATAGCTGATCTTTGTTTAGTTTATTACTGATATCCAGATCTTGATAATAATCCTTTATGTAGTATTGTCAAAGATTTGTATAATCTTTCTATTTGGAATCTGTTAAGCAGATTTTTATATGCTTTAAGCTCTTGAATTTATCTAATTATTTTACTCAAATTTTATGAAACTTTTGTATTATATTATTGTTTTATAGCCTTATAATATAAGCTAGTATGGATGTGGCGACTTAGTAAAGTAGTGAAGTTGTCGCACCCCCAAGCGGCAGGACAAGAGTTCGAATCCTACTAGTGATGAAATTCGAATTTATAGAATGTGTTATGGCAAACTGTGTGTAATTCAATAGATCGGTAAGAACTGTAAACTTGGTTGCACTAGGACTTACTGAGAGGCTGTGGAATATTAGTGTGATGTATGAGTTACATGAAATCTGAGTGAAGCAGCTGAGTTAATCCAGATATTGGGATCAATGCACATGAGAGCCCGCTTGGCAAGTTCTGAGTAGAGAGGTAGCACAGATCTTTGATGGTATTATGTAAAAGACTATCTAAGGGATCCGAATACTGATTTCAGTAATTTGGACGAGGACCGGTGTTTGGCAAGGCACTATACCAACCAGGCCGCCAGAAGAGTACCAGAGAAAAAGGACCTAACCGTGGGGACCAGGGGCAGGTCACAGCCCTTCTGGACTATCTGAATTAGGAGTTTGGGTTATTGACGAAATAGATACTGGTGATAGTCTGTATAATGGATACTGGGGTTTAGATGAACTTTGCAAGGGCACAGAGTAGGTAATGGTATCGGCTTCAGCTCGCAAGTACTTGGTTTTAGCCTAGGCATAAGTTACCAAAAATCTAGATGATATATATGTAGGATATGGACTGCTCTAGTAGATTTACCATGAGGATAAAATAGTCCTAAGGGGCCTTAGTGACAGTTCCTCTTTGGGAAGAATATCCTGACAATGCTAAGTTGATCAGAGAGTTTAATTAGGTAGCTCAAGTAATAGTGGGCTGCAGATATGGCATCTAGTGTAGACATAGAAATATGCAAAGCCTACTTAAATAGCCGCTCAAAAGATGCAGATATGGCTCTTGTTAATGTAACAAAGTCAGGAGTAGCTTTGTGGCTGCCCTGGCATTCGAACCAAAGTTAATAAACATGCCAGACCCCCAAGTGGTCACCTTAATATTAAAAAAAAATATATATATATATATAAACTAGTATAATCAAAATTACAAATGTTAATTTATCAAATTATATATAGTCTGCTGTAATACATTTTGTAAAATTTGAATTTTGTTACTAGTAAGATTCAAACTTTTGTCCTGCTGCTTAAGAATACAATAACTTATCAACTATATTAAGTCATTACATCAATATAACAAAATTTTATTTTTATTACATTATTTTATATAGTGTTTTGCAAAAGATCTAAGTTTGGTCTGATCTATTGATAAACTGAGTTTGGATTCTTGATTTATCAGAATCAATATGGGTTTGGATCTATACAAAAATCTGCTTGGATAATACCTGATCTGGTTCTATTAAAATAATACTAATTGTTGATTAGCTGATTTCAGAATTTTCTCTTTTTTATAGCTGTTTCATAATAGAAATTTAATTTATTATTATATATAAGATCTTTGCTAAGAAAATGATTTACTGAAACTATATTGATTTTGTGAATAAGAATTTATTTTATGAAGCTAAATAAACTTTATAAATAAAAAAAGATTAAAGATCATTTGAATTTGATGACTAAATAGCCAGCATATTTAATTTCTATTCACAAAATTAATATTGTCTCAAAGAGTCATTTTCCTAGCAAAAATCTTATATTTTTCTAATTTAATTCATAAATATATAATTTATTTCTTATTAGTTTAATATATTTAAATATATTTTATACAGTATTAATTTATGAACTTAATTAGGCATCGCATCATGCAATGTGTTTATATATCGCATTATAATGATCTATCAATTAAATTGTATATCTGCAGTATAACGTGAAAATTAAGTGTAACAATAATTTGTTTTTTTTAATAATAATATCTTAAAATTTTACTTATGAAACAGCTTTTAATATTCTGATACTTGCGAAATTTTACTATATACTATACCCTACCTTAACCTCTAACTATTAATCTTAAACTATTATATAAAAAATAATTTTATGTTATACAGATCTGCAATTATTGTTATATAGAGGTGCAATATACAAGTACATCGCATAGTGCGATGCAGTGTTGTCATATAGACACTTTTGGACACTTTTGAACATTTTTTCAAATTAAAATTACTCAAAATTTTATTAAGATAATCTATGTTAATTTGTTTATAATTGAATTCAGTACTTAACAAAATATATAATTATATATTATTTAATTTATTTTATTGATTATTTAAACTTTGGACATAGGTTTGGATAATTTTAGACAATCTTGGATGTTGGATATTTTACTTAGTGTGGACATGTTCAATGTACAATACTGGTGCGATGTATATGTTGTGCCTCAGACTAACGCTTGCCTCAGATGTCGATTTATTGGCCAGCATTAACTGATCGATATTGATTGGCCTAAATTATATCTTAATTCTTCCCAAATTCTTACCCTAATCCTAACCTAACTTAGGCCGATCGACATCTGAGGCAAGCGTTAATCTGA